GGAAATCCGTGTGGCCGAAAACTCACGAGAACGCTGCGTGTCGCGCCCCATTATACCGCTGCACGTCCAACAGCGACGACTAATGTGCTCATCAATGATTCGAATAACCCTGAGAACACCGGAATTCACTTTCGCGCGGAACTTGCAAGAATGACGGCTGAGTAAATGGCTACATACAGTATAGGTGAACAGAGAATGCATGTACACAACGGCGACGCGTGCAGAGAACAACAACATCGATCGGGGAGCGCATTACTAACAGTGGTCGCTAAACGTCGGCTCTTCTCCAAAGCTGTTTGAGATATGTTAACCGAATGTAACGGGTGTAGCTGCAGACCGCGAAACTGGAAAGTGAGACAGTGATCACTGGTTATGCTTTGAAGATAGCTGATAATATAGACAAGCCTAACTTCAAATCAGTCTCCATGCGCCGTCTGTGCAGCTAGCATGGAATCGTAACATACCAAACTGTGCACCGCAGGGACGCCGTTGGGGCCACAGCAACGAGGACAGTCGCAATACAAAATATAGATAAGAAAAACTGCTTTTAGAAAGAAACAAATCAAGCCGGTTTTTCGTCAACATGAATTGATAAGCACAATGGTAGGAGCCGATGTCACGTTTGATACTTCATCTATAAAACGCATAGGTTTCTGGAACAAAAATTACTGTTGGCAGCGGAGACATCTGACTGTCAGAAAGCGAATCGATTCGCAATATGGCATAAAGAGATGAGGTTGAAGGACGAGTGAAGCAAGTAGGTAAAACAGAAAGTGGTGTGTAGCATAAGTTAACCCAGTAGTATGAGCAACCGTCATATGCGTTGGTCTCAAAACGATGCCAGCAATCAGTGCAAAAGGACAGTGTCCCTTGGTTAGCGCTTAAAGTCAAAGTAAATGCGTTCAGACTGGGTGACATCACAATGGTATACGATAACGACCTAGTTAAGGGTTGGTGTGCGGCGAATGACTTAGTTGAAGAGACCGAAAAATCAACACATACCACATGAGCGCTGGGTGCATCAGAGTTTGGGGTTCCGCCCGCACCAGCGGACTGCGCGGAAAAAGCATGTTCGCCAACAAGATTGACGAAGTTGAGGGTGATGAAATCATCGGTTCCTCCTTCGGGGTACACGCGTGGTTGAGGTCTAGTGGCGAGCGGAGGAGAGGAAGATCAAGCGGGAACGAAAACATGAATGCAGGAGTTAAAGAAGCAAGGATGAGTGGATCAATCACGTTTTCTCATTCCGACGGGTACGCCGAGTATCCGAGTTGAAAGTACTTTCCAGCACTGGCTGGATAGGTGACTCATCACAGAGTTTACGCAAGAGTTTGCACCAACTTACAACGACTACAAAACAAGATTTGCGGAAAGAGTGCACAGCTATGAACCAAACCTTCGAGCAAAAAACATGAGCTCCAAGATATTCGCGAATTGAGCATTGCGGGAGCCATATAGCCGATACCATTGGATGACAGTCCGGTGGATCCTGAAGTGTCGCTGTTTGGCAAGGCACAACAGAATTTCACGCAAATGTGCGTAACGAATTGATGGTACCCCGGTAGTACAGATACCGGATCCATTAAAGAGGTCTCATTGGCGTAATATGACAGTTGAGTTTGAACAAGAGAATATATGGCTACATATGTGGTGGGCAATTCACCATAATGCATATGCTAAGCAATAGCAGTCTGACGAGTGTGCATGGGAAATCTTCCTCGAAATGCGTCTCTGTTTAGAGCTTTAAGCGCTCCACTATCGATTATATAATCAAGGAAAACACGATATTTGCTACTGTCTCGTTGGACCACAATCAGCTTGGCAAACGCGGTGACAAACAAATGAGCGGAAACGCAAATAAGCACTGCCGTAATCAATCTAAAGTGAACTACTAAAACGTTTCCGGCAACACTTGACACTGTAAGGGAGCAAAAGACAGCGAGCGAGGAGCTTCGGTACAAATGCTCTTACCGGTTCCACAGAGACGGAATGCACGGATACAACAATGAGTTAGCAGGAAGGGAGTAAGAACAAACAGGTGCAATTTTTGGAGCTCCGATTTATTTATATACTATAGACCTTCATGTAGCAGTGTCCGTAATCATCGCCCAGCGAAATGGAAAGGATCAGAAAGGACAAAGCAGACCAAATAGCAGTCCACTTCGTGGATACGGAAATGCGAAAGACTCGTATCACCCCGAATAAAAGTGGTTGACAACAGTGGGGTATGATGAGAGGAGAGGAGGAAAACCGAATAGAAGAAACGTCAAAATCACCAGATGGAATGCTTAGAAGCCGGAAGAAAGTAACTAAATTTTGGAGCGCCACTGAGTTTTTTTCACCGCAAAATTTCACATATGGACTCTGAGATTTGATATGGCTGATGCCTATAATCAGATCCCGGAAGATGACACGCGTCAATCGTGCTGAATCTTACCACCTATTCCGCGGTTCGATTCCCCGTCGAGGCAGGTTATTGTGCAAGTGTAATCGTGGCTTCTACTTTCTACGAGAATTACACTATTGACAAAAACCACCAGGAGGCGAAATTCCCAGGATGCCCATTGAGCAAGATGGGACATAAGCCATTGGATGTGACGTCTAGATACAAAACAGGCCACCTGTCCATAACAAGCGAAGTTAAACTGTAACTCAAATTATTTGACAGACCACTAATAGAATAAAATGCTATCTCCTTCAGTGGCTTCAGAAGATACGACACGAGAGCAATCTAAGCTACAGAGGTCCGTTAGGAAAAGCCACGTGAGTTGCAGCTCATCCCCCACTTATACGTGTGGTGAATGAAAGGTTTTGTGCCCGGCATAGGCAAGTCAAATAAGGTTTTTTCAATCTACCACTTTTCTTTATTCATGTTATACAAATGCATATTTACAACTTTAGTTGCATTTCAATGGATTCTTAAAGTGAAAAAGGGTCTGCAATATGGCAAAAATGGAGAAATTGGAGCATCTGCAGTGATCAAATATTGCGATCTCAAAAGAATGTCACCACCTAAAATCTACCAAGATATACTCAATACTTTACGTGACAATGACCTTTCATATGTCACAGTTAAACGCTGCATACAAGAATTAAAGCGTAACAGGGAGAGTATTGAAGATGAACACAGGTCAGGGAGGTAATCAAACGCCACCAGCAGAGAAAACCTTGACATTGCGATGGATATGATCATGCAAGGTCGCCGATTAACACAGCAGAGAGATTCGGTTTCTCGCAGAAGCGAACAAAGAGTAGTCTGACGAAAGAGTTGGGCTGGCGCTCGATGGGCGCCAGGTCTTCTAACTACTGAGCAGAAGCGCATTCGGCATGTGATGTCAAAGACCAAGTTGGAATTGCTTGAGCCAGATACCGGTAATTTTCCTAAACGGTACATCCCTGTGGATGAGCGCTGGGTCAACCACTGTCAGTCAGAATGAAATTAACAATCAAAGCAATGGAAACATACATCATCTCATACACTGAAGGCCAAAGTTATGCCTTCAGTGAGAAAGTTGGTGGCATCTGTATTTTGGGACTCCAAAAGTGTAGTGATGGTCTATTTTTTAAAGGAGGACATATCACCACCGAAACGTTCCAGAGAAAAAAATTCGGAAAAAGAAGCCAGGAATGTTCACCAGAGGAGAAATTGCAATGCTCCAGTCCACACCTCATAAAATGATTCATGATTGCAGTTTCTAGTTTTTCGTCACCCAACCTATTCCCCAGATCTGACCCCACTCTAATTTCCAACTATTTCTAAACCTGAATAAAGCGTTAGCGAACCAAGTCCTGCTCAAGGACAGTGGACTCACCGAAGCCGCAAAGGAATTTGTAGGGTCACAACCTGTACAGTACCTTTACAGTGGAACAAAGACGCTTCAGCAACACTGGAGCAAGTGTGTTGCGATTGAGTGATAATGTTGAAAAACGAAAGCACTGAAAACTCTGGATCACGACTGGTTTTCTTGATGATCAAAAGTTTTCATTCATCCCTCGTACGGATAGCTGTTATCTGTGAAAAAGCTATGGCTTCAAAGATTAAAGCGGAATCTGTCTGTTAGTTAACACTTCCCATCGCCGGACACACACTTAACCGTATAAACTGAGAAAAAAGACTAAGCGATGTAGCTGCCTCGTTGCTTTTCATGTCTACGGTGTGTAACCGGTAAAATTAGCATGCAAGTCGCAAGTTAGATGTGTGGATATTACTGGATAACAACAAATGACACCTGCGCCATCTACTAAACTCCAGCATACCACCAATTTATCAAACTCCGGTGTCTCTGTATTCGAGGCCCCCATGGTTTCATTCCAAGGCCCGCTGTTACCACTGCTCGCTCCCACATTGTCAGTTTGCTCTATGCCGCTATCTGTCCCTGAAAATCTTCGTCCACATATGTCCGGAGAGATAATACTTCCACCCCTTGAAGGTACATTAAGAACCCAACGCACTGTATCCCCCTATGCGCTATACAGAGAGCCAATTGGATAGATGTTACAACTCGGCTCGTACTGAACCACAACTCTTAGTAGAACGCAGTATTTGCCCCGTAGCGCACGACAACAGAACACGTCAGTTTCAGCAGTACACGAAATGTATTATATTTCGCCATAAAAACAAGGCTTCGGATAAATTAAAACAGCTCAATCAATGGTTAACTTGGCGTTAAACTGCCACACAGGGTTTAGCGAGATCAACCAGATAGGTGAACTCAGCTCACACAGATGCCACATTTCCCCTCTCTTTAGTTGGAACTACCCCAACTAGCCTGGTATCGATTGACTGGTTGGCGCACTCGGTCTAAGCGGCGACATTGCGGAGTCTCCGATTGGCTGGTATACTGCGCGTATTCCAACTCAGTGTCGATGTGTCCGCTGGCGGAACCGAAACAGCGGGGACGGACATGACCCTTGTGCCGAATGACTACATTGCTGGCTATAGCATTTCTGAGTTGCGTTAGGTCATAAAGGAATAAATTTAAACAGTAGAGATTTCAAATTGAGCCGTTACCATATCCGAGTTAATCCATTCCATACGTCGGACAACGCGTGGAATTGATAAACTTGAAAACGGTAACGAATCAATTTGGAAACTTTACGACTTAAATGTATTCGGCTACGACCTAACATGACTCGGAAATGGCATAGTGGAGCCACTTCCGTATTTTGTCCCTCAACTTCGTGCAGATCTCCAGGCTGCCAGTTCGTTTCGTTAGGCAACTTGACATAAACCGGTTCGTTCTCAGAGATATCGGTCGACCGCCCTCCAGTCATACTCGGCTTTAAGGTTATATTGTTCGGTCTAAACATGTAGCCTCTGATCGGGAAACAGCAAGTCTAGCCGTGTCGTTCGCCTCCGCCCGAACATTAGTTCACCGGGGTTCTTACCCGTCGTTTCGTTCGGTGTGGAGCGATAATCACAAAGGAATTTGTCTAACCTTATTCGCAATGCAGTCGGCAGTTGTTTTTGAAGCCCGTTCTTGACCGTTTGGACCGCCCTTCCAGCTAAGCCATTAGAAGCTGGGTGGTAAGGGGCCGATTTCACATGAGGTATGCTGTTATTTTTCAGAAACTCCTGAAATTCCAGGCTGGTAAACATCGAGCAATTGTCTGTCACCAACATGCGTGGTATCCCGTGGTTGGAAAGCACGTTCGCATGCATGAAACTGTAGTCTCTGACGTGGTTCGTGTTGGCGGGAAAACAACGATCCATTGCGTGTAAGCCTTGATCAAGAGAAGAAATACCTTCCCGTTGAGTGGGCCGGAAATGTCAGCACCTACACGCCCATTTCTATGGGCTGCGTGGTACAGGAGGGGCGCCACTTTGTGTGCGATGACAGGAGTCGCAGTGTCGGTTTAACTCCTCAATGCCATTGTGGCCCATTAGGGCCACCGGACACAGGATCGCGCAAGCCGTTTCATCCTCGTTATTTCGGGATGAATTTCGTGCAACTCTTGTAGAACATCTGGCCGCAATCGGAGTGATTTGATCGCTCTGGATCCCCGGAGTAGAAATCCATCTTCAAAACGAAGCTCGGAGCATCGAGTAAATTATGGTAGCAGTTGCGGCTCATATTGATCAGGCCATCCCTGGGATACTAGACGCTTGAGCTTGGCAAGTGTTATGTTCGGTTCGGTTTCTTGACG